TTAAATGATATAACTCATTTATTTCTTTACATTCAGCTTGAATACATTGTTATCTATTGCAGTCCTTTCTTTCAGTTATTTGTTATTCAACTATATTATATACTCGTACATTCAATGTACTGATGTCATTCGACCTGCATCTTTTGATGATGCAGGTACATGTTCTTAGGATCCTCAACAAGAGTCTGTTGAGATCACTTCATCCACTCGTCTGCTTATGAGTGATACCTCTTTTCTTTCGGAGTACTCTAGTTTTATCAGTTGTTAGTATTAGTAACATTTTGAGTAGTCGTGGGTCTTGTCCGACACTCGTCTATATATAGAAGAGACTTCATAGATAAACAATTTTGGAGAGTCTTTCAGTTTTCAGATGTTTTATTTAAACTTATGATTCATACTCAATATATTCAATAAAGTTTTGAGATTTAGTAAGTTGTTTTTTTAACATTTCTTTCAATTTGATGCATATGTATGCTTGAGTTGGTCTTCCGCTTGTTGTCAGCCAGGATGAGGGTTCGCTTGAGGACCAGCTATGGTTATCGAGTGCCAACCACGTCTAGGGTGTAGGATCGGATCGTGACAAACTTGGTATCAGAGCACAGAGTTCAAGTATCCTAGGGTGTCTATGAAGTCGTGTCAAGTAGAATCTTATTTATGGTTGTGAGGGCCCCACTTCTATAAATAAGGGATTAGAGGCCTTTAAGAAAAGTTTTTCTTCTTTCATACTCAAAATCGTGCAATAGAACTAGGTAATAAGGAACTCATTCAAACTCGTGTGTTTCTCAGATTCATTCGACTACCCCTCGTACTTAAGGTAAATGAAAAGTAAAGCTAGATCCTTATCAATGAGTAACTCTTAGCATTAATATTGAGAAAGTCATGAGACTGGAGAGTGGCTTGAGAGAAACTTGTGAGTGAGTTTAACTATTGATATTTGAAAGAAGGCACTCATATTCTTATGAATCGTGCTTTCAAGCTAAAAGCGAGATTTACTCTCTTCTCTAAACCTTGTTCCAATTGAGACCCTTATTAGGAAGTGTGTTTTAGAGCTTGTGTGTAATTTCCACCCAAAAAGATAGTATGAGTATGAGATTATAAGAAGTAGTAGAAGAAAGTGCCCAGGGTTAGAAGAATGAATGCAGAGGTGTAGTAATCTAAGAAAGGAATATAGTGTTGAGGGAAATTATATTGTTGCAGTCTTGCACTAGTAAATTATTAATGAGGAATTTCCCCTTATGGGTATACTGAGAAGTGATGAGTTTGTGTAGATTTCATGATAGAGGATAGAGGAATAGTTACGAGTTAGGATGAGTTAGAGTATACTTTTACTGGAAAGGAGTTTATGATGTTGTGTCATTGTATTAGTAACCGCCAAGTGTAGGTGTTGAATGATAGATCTAAGCCAGACTCATGATTTTTGGGAGATCCCGTGATTTTCAGAGGGTTATAGAACTAGTTAGCGAATGATGTGTATTGAGTAGGTAAATGGTACTTAGATTTTGAAAATGATTGTGACAGTAATCTGTAAATAGGTAGACTGAGAGGTAAAGATTGACCTACTTGTTAGGAGGTTTTGGGGGCAGGTGTTTCTTAATTTAATCTATTAGTAATGAGTTAGTATAGTATGCGAGGAATTATATTGATATTCGTGTTTTGTAATAGACACTAGGCTTGAATTTGAGATGAGAGTCGTGGTAAAAAAGAATGGCAACATGAGGGTGATGATGTTAGTTTTGAGATCTGATTTGGTAGACCTGACATAGAGTAGGAGAGGAGTTAAGAGGTTAGTTACAATGAAGGTGAGTGGTACAAGTATGTGATTCTAACTTTGAGGTAAGAGTAGTGAAGTGTGGTTAAGTCATTAGAGTAACAAGAGCATTAAGAGGTGTACCCGAGGTTGTATGTAACCAGATGAGGTTCTAATTAAGTTTCTTTTTTTCATGTGTGCCTAGATAGTATATTTGAGCTGTCAATGTGGAATAGATTGGTGTAAGCATTTTTTTCCTTAAGAGTTAAATGAAGCGGCTTGATAAGAACAATGAGAAGAGGTTAATAAAAGCATCTTAGAAAGAGGTCTTAGAAGGAGTCTTAGTACATGTTTATGCAGAGTTAAGTAACCATGAGATAAGTCTTTTCCAAGTATTAGAGTAAAGAGAATGTAGACCAGTGTGGAGATGATGGAATAGATCCATAGCTTTCAAGTGTCAGCTTTAGACCTAAGGGGTAGATGATAAGATGAGAAACCACGTCAAATGTTGATCGGGCTCCGGCAAACGACCAAATAGCTCCAGTCCACCACCCCAACAATTGCTCTGTCACACTCCTCTCTCACGCACAACAATCATCGAAGTGATTTGTTGATATTTTTTTATCACCCAGTTTTATATTTGCTTTTTGTTTTAGTTATTGTTAAATGTTTCAATTACTGCCTTCTCTGTCATTGCTATATATGATTTTATATTATTACTTTTTAGTTGCATTTTGAGTAGTGATTCTCACTAATTGGAATAGATGTTGTTCATGATTTTTATTTTATATTTTAGCTTGTTTCGATATTTTTTTTGTTAAATTCAACTAATTTTGTGTGTATGGTCCTGATGGGTTGAGGGTTATTTTTTTATTGTTTTATTTCTCTTTGCTATTTGTTGAGAAGCTGATCGAAGAAGAAATTACTAATGATTTCTAAGGTCTTTCATGTTTATAGGACATGTTCAATTATTTTGGTTAATATTATTCATTACTAACAATTTTATTAAGCGTATTATAAATATCGAGAGTTGCTTTCCAAGGAAGATATTTCAATAATATTTTTTTTATGTATATTGCTAACGATAGACAAACATTATGCCGTTTCTTTAGTTATATTTTTACTTTATTATTTGTATATATTTCATGTTTATTATATTTGTACGTTATTTTTATCTCCTCCTCAATTTAAAAATAACGAGTTCAGTCAAAACCCACAATTATGAATTTTGAAGGATGTTAATATCTTTTCTTTAGAATCACTTGAACTCTTACCTAGAATCTATTGATTTCGTAGACTTTTTATTTTTTATTAATTAGTTAATTGATTTACTAATTATTCTAAAATTAGGTGGCGACTCCTAAAATCTTTCTTAAAATTCTTTTAAATTTAATTTAATTAAATTATTATATTTTATTGAGTTTCATAACGTTGCGCCTTATTTAAAAAATAGAGATGTAAATTATACCAATATACTTCACAGATCGACTAAAATTTTGAACCAACCATTGAATACTCTGTGACAAATGGATGATTATGACGTCCATTTCTTAAAAAATAAAGTGTAAACTGAAACAAGTGTGATATTTTCAAAATTGTGATCCAATGTAGTGAATATAAAATTTAATTTTATTTAAATTAAATCTCGAATTCATAACATGATTCACGATCCATCAAAATTGAATGACACAAGCCATTTCAAAGTAAAGATTATTTTCTTTCCCACATATAAATAAGACTTAATTAATGATAATCAGACACCTTTGATTAGTAGTATGAATTCGAACATCTTTTTCCACTAAGATATTAAATACAATCCCATCGCGTAATAACCAATAAATTACTAATTGAGTAATGCTCCCTCTATTTCTAATTATTTGTCTACTTTTTTTTAGTTGTTCCTAATTACTTGTCAATTTTAACAAATTGAGAAAGAACAATTTTTTTACCTATTATATCCTCAATTAATTACTTTGAAAAATGTAGAATTTTTCGAAAAACTTAAATTTTTAATTCACCCAATTAATAATTAATAGGGGTAAAATGGTAAAAATCACTATATCAATTATTATTTTCTTAATAGGTATGTCAATTTAAAAATGTACGAGAGGGAATAACTCGATTTGGCATATTTTTCTCGAAAGTCTTGTAGCAGAGCTAGCAAAATGGGAACATTACCGTTCAAAATGGGAACATCGTTCAAAATGTCTACATGACTAGGATTATTGGAGTAAAACTCTTTTCTTTTCTTTTTTCTTTCTGAATACACTAGAACACAAAAAGAGAGAAAACCAGGATGAAAAATCTGATCCCTATAGTCCCAAATATTAATGTTGGCAAATTGAATTGGTTACAAAATTCAATTTGGGGATAATTTGTGAAACACTTAAAATGCTTTTAAGGAGTGCTTCATCTTAGAAACACTTAGACCCAAGCTTATTTTTAGAAACATTTTTTTCTTAAAATAGCTTTTTTAAAAAAAGTAATTTGTATTTTGCTAATTATTTGAAAAATATTCTTGATTAGCAGATTGTGTATGACTAATCATTTTCAATAACACTTTTGAGATTCAAATTACAAAAAAGATTAAGTAGCAATACACTTTTAATATTAAGATTATTTTATAGAAAAATTATTTTAAATATTTATAATTAAAATTTTAGTTAATTTCTTATTTTATTTTATTTATATGTACACATTCAAACCTTCAATCAATACTATACATAGATAAATAAATAAATAAATTAAATATTGATATCATATTTACATAATAATTTTAAAATAATTAAAAATAATAAGTAAAATAATTCATTCCACAAATTAATTACTATATACGAAAATTTACTACAAAAATAAATAAATAAATATAAGAAATATATCGATAAACATGTATAAAATTGCTGCTTCATAAAAAAATAATTTGCTGCTTCTAATTTTTGTAAGTATAAAATTTTAGTTCTTCCCAACATCAAAAAACTATTTCTCCTTCCGGTTAAAAGCAATTTTTACAATGCAAACACCTCAATAAGGTCAAACAAACTCTTAATATGCTTTTAAGTTAAAGGAAAAAAAGACAAAAAATTAGTCAAATATCATCATTAACCATTGATAAATGTGTTTATAATTTTTGATTAAAAAAGGTAATAAAAAATGCACTTTGCTTTTTTAGTTTTGCAAATCTTGTCATAGAAGGTTTGTCCTTTATAAATGAGGTCTCCCATTCCATTGTGATTAACTCTTAGAACTATATAACAAGCACCTCCCTTGTCACCTTGAGTTGTAGGTAGCAAAGAAAAGATAAAAACATGGCTAAGTTTATAAGGTTTTGTTTGTTTTTCATGATGTTAACAATTAGTTCAGTAGTAGGAGATGGCGATTATGCATACGATTACGATGATGCATATGCCCCAGCGCCAGCATCGATACCGGCATCGACGTCAGCGGTACCAGCGCCACCACCGGCATCGACGTCAGCGGTACCAGCGCCACCACCGGCATCGACGTCAGCGGTACCAGCGCCACCACCGGCATCGACGTCAGCGGTACCAGCGCCACCACCGGCATCGACGTCAGCGGTACCAGCGCCACCACCGGCATCGACGTCAGCGGTACCAGCGCCACCACCGGCATCGACGTCAGCGGTACCAGCGCCACCACCGGCATCGACGTCAGCGGTACCAGCGCCACCACCGGCATCGACGTCAGCGGTACCAGCGCCACCACCGGCATCGACGTCAGCGGTACCAGCGCCACCACCGGCATCGACGTCAGCGGTACCAGCGCCACCACCGGCATCGACGTCAGCGGTACCAGCGCCACCACCGGCATCGACGTCAGCGGTACCAGCGCCACCACCGGCATCGACGTCAGCGGTACCAGCGCCACCACCGGCATCGACGTCAGCGGTACCAGCGCCACCACCGGCATCGACGTCAGCGGTACCAGCGCCACCACCGGCATCGACGTCAGCGGTACCAGCGCCACCACCGGCATCGACGTCAGCGGTACCAGCGCCACCACCGGCATCGACGTCAGCGGTACCAGCGCCACCACCGGCATCGACGTCAGCGGTACCAGCGCCACCACCGGCATCGACGTCAGCGGTACCAGCGCCACCACCGGCATCGACGTCAGCGGTACCAGCGCCACCACCGGCATCGACGTCAGCGGTACCAGCGCCACCACCGGCATCGACGTCAGCGGTACCAGCGCCACCACCGGCATCGACGTCAGCGGTACCAGCGCCACCACCGGCATCGACGTCAGCGGTACCAGCGCCACCACCGGCATCGACGTCAGCGGTACCAGCGCCACCACCGGCATCGACGTCAGCGGTACCAGCGCCACCACCGGCATCGACGTCACCGGTACCGGCGCCCCCACCGGCTGTGGTACCAGCTTTGTTTGCTTTCGGAGACTCATTGATAGATAGTGGAAACAACAACCAGCTTTTCTCATTTGCCAAAGCCAATTATTTGCCTTATGGCATTGATGTTGGTGGCCCTACTGGACGCTTCTCTAATGGCTACACCATCCTTGATCAGATCGGTAACTGCCTCCATTCCCAATTACTTTTTCTTATTTATTTTTTTTAAAATTATTTTGTTCTTATATTAAATCTTCTTGTTTCTGTGATTTACTCTACATCTTGTAAAATTTATCAATTGTTTTTTGTTAATTATAGGTTACTCTTCCTTTTGTTTCACCTTCATCAATTGGTTCTTATTTTTGAAACCTTTATAAGCTTCGGTGGCAGGGAGAAGCCCGATTACTAATTTGGCCTGATAATGTATTTGAATTGAGAAATCATTAAATTTAGAATTCAATGATTATTAACACTTGAAATCATTATTTGAGTATATATCGATATACTTCTTTTCATTTTCTGGAAACATTCTGGAAATAAAAATTACTTTAGCTACTCACTCGGTCTAATTTTTATTTTTTTTTAAAATGAAACTAGTTCTTGAATTATTCATTATTTTGAAAATTTAAGCAAAAATGAATTAGTGTTAGTAACTATAGTCCATTTTTTCAATATATTTTTCAAAACATTTAATTTATCAAAAGGCAATATAACAAAAATTTCATTTAAATTACCATTTCTTGAAAAATGTGCCAAATTAAAACTGGTCAAATAAAAGTAAATTGAAAGACTAGTGAATAAATTTTGAATGTGACTCTTATATTGTCTTTATGCCCGCTAAGTCAAGTAAACAAACAATATTTGCATTATATATTTGTTTTTTTATAAATATTTATTACTTAATTAAAGTTAGTTTGTGTGTATCTTCAAAATATTTTGTCTCTTTAACTTTGATAAACTAATATGATCACTTAACTTTAGTTTTAATTTTTACGTTACATGTTTAAATTACAAAAAAAAAAAAAAAACACTTTGATACATCTCATACATTTTTTTTAATCTAAGACCTTAATATTTAAAAATCTTATTTAATTATAAAAATTCACTATGTGACAAATAAAAAAAGACAACCAGTGTGTTTTTTCTTCCGTAGAATATAGAACGTTTTATATCACTTGGATAAACACATTATCGTTTCAAAAAAACAGAAAAACACGAACATTTTCAGACAAAGAAGTAATAAACTTATGTTCTCAATTAATTTATATGTTTGGGATTCGAATTTATATTCTCAGTGTTTGTTGAAAAGTATAATTAATGCGTAGATCGATATTGAATGTGGCGGTAAATATATATTTTGTATGGAAACTTGCAGGTGTGCTTCTGGGATTGCCTCTGCTTCCATCATATTCAGAGGAGTTCAACGTGGATACAATGTGTTTCGGAGTGAACTATGCCTCTGCTGCTGCTGGTATCCTTGATGTTACTGGTTTTCACTTTGTAAGTATCTATTTTCATTTGAAATTGATTTAATTTTCATATTTGATATAGTAATAATAATAATAAAATGTACGTTGTTTTTCACTCAGGTGGAACGAATCCCATTCAGTTATCAAATAAAAAACTTTGAGAACACGTTGGTAAATTTGATAAAAAATATGAGTGCACCCATTGTTAAAGAGGCAATTCCCAAGTGCATCTTCTTTGTGGGTATGGGAAACAATGATTACCTCAACAATTACATTATGCCTGTCTACTTTACTCAAGATCAATACTCTCCTCAAAAGTTTGCTGAATTACTCGTTCATCAGTACAAAGCTCAATTAACAGTAAGATCCATCATTCAAACTTGAACAAATTCAATTTCTATTAATCACTAATTGAAATTGGTCATGCAGAAATTGTACGATCTTGGAGCACGGAAATTTATTATTACTGGGATTGGACAAATGGGTTGCATCCCAAGCATGCTAGCAGAAACTTCAGGTGGTGGATGTTCAGAATCTGTAAACGAAATGGTGCATCCATTTAATTCAAAACTAAGGACAATGATCATGAAACTGAACAAGGATCTGGCTGGTGCACACTTCATATTCCTTGATATGGAATATATGTTTAAGGATATCTTTAAAAACCACAAGGCGTATGGGTTTAGTGTGATAGATCGTGGATGTTGTGGTCTAGGGAAAAACCAAGGGGAAGTAACTTGTCTTCCATTTGAAATACCATGTGCAAACAGAGATGAGTACTTATTTTGGGATGCATATCACCCCACATCTGCAGTAAATCTCTTGCTTGGAAGAATGGCTTTCTATAATGATGCCAACTATTCTTATCCTATCAATATTCAGCAGCTTGCTCTTATCTGATCTCAGATGGAACTTCTACATTACATGATCCGTCTTCCTTGTTAACTTACATTTATTATCAGTTATGATGAATTAATTACAATAATTTATGAATATCTTTCTTCCACCCGGACTATGCTTATTTTTCTTTTCTTCTAATCTTCTAACTATTAATCAAGCTGGTATCGACATGTTAATTTATCGTCATAATACTTTGGACTTGTAATTACTGAAGTTTTGACCAAAATAAGCTATTTTAAAAACCAATTCACCAAATTAATATGCTTTTTAATTTTTTTACAAAAGTAGTATAAACGTACTTCATGGTAACGTTTTAGGTTATTTTTATTTTAAAAATTCAACGGACAAAAACTGACGGAGCTGACGACGTTAAATGAATAAACGTTACTGTGAGTAACGTTTTAGGTGTAAAACGTTACTCACA